ATTATTTATTTTTGAGAGAGAATTCATGAGCCGGGGAGGGGCGGAGAGAGATGGGGAGAGAGAATCCCAAGCAGGCTCCTCCCTGTCAGCCCCGGGCTTGAATTCGGGAGCCGTCACTATGAAATCACGACAGGAGCCGAAATCAGGAGTCGAATCTCAACCGACTGAGCTGCCCAGGCACCCCCTGTATGGTTTTCTTAATAACGTGTTCTCGTGTGTGGTTTACTTTATTGTGAGGACGGTATTTAATATGCACAAATCCGCGGAAGTCTAGGTGTTGATCAACTATTGGCTAGGAGCAGTAGGCTGTTGGTAGTTACCTTTTGAGGAGAATCAAAAGTTACAGGTTTTCAGTGCACGAGGAGGTCCGCACCCCAACTCCCGCGTTGTTCAAGTGTCAAGTGTTGGAATCACACAGCATGTAGTCTTTTCAGGTTGGCCTCTTTCACTCTGAAACGTGCATTTCAGGGGTGCCTGGGTGGCTCAGTGGTTAAACGCCTGCCTTTGGCTCAGGTCATGATCTCATGGTTCGTGGGTTCGACGCCCACCTCGGGCTCTGTGCTGACAGCTGGGAGCCCGGAGCCTGCTTCAGATTCTGTATCTCCCTCTCTCTCTGCCCCGGCCCTGCTCGTGCTTTGTCCCTCTGTCTCAAAAATAAATAAACGTTTCAAAAAGAGAAAGAAAAGTACGTTTCAGGGGCACCTGGGTGGCCCAGTCGTTAAGCGTCAAGCGCTTGATTTTGGCTTGTGTGTCCACGCGTGCGCACGCTTTCTCTAAGTAAATAAACAAAAAAAAAAAAAATGTGCGTTTCAGATTCTGCCATGTCTCTTCATGGCTTGATAGCCCATTTCTTCTTAGCGCTGAATAATACTCCGTTGTCTACACGGACCGTGGGTTGTCCGCTCGCCTGCAGAAGGACATCTTGGTTGTTTCCAGGTTTGGGAAACCACAAAACCACTGTAAACGTCCACGTGCAGTTGTCTGTGTGGACGTGTCTTCAGCTCGTTTGGGTAAATAACCAGGGAGCGTGATTCCTGCATCATACGGTGAAAGTCTGTTTACTTTTCTAAGAAGCCAGCAAACCCTCCCGGGGCGGCTGCACCATTCTGCATGCCACCGGCAGCGAGGGGGTGACTCCTCCCCAGCCCTCGGGGGTGTCCCTGCTGTGGGTCAGGCCCGTTCTGATGGGTGCGGAGAGGTGTCCTGTTTTAATTTGCAGTCCCCTGGCGCCGTGACGCAGAGCCTGTCATCCTGAGCTTGCCGTCTGCAGCTCTGCTCCCATGAGGACGCTGGATATTTCCCCCTTTGTCATTTGTCCTGTGATCATTGGGTTTTAGAGTTCTTCGTAGATCCAGGAGAGCCGTCATCTATCAGGGGTCTTCTGCAGATCTCTCGTCCCGGCTTGCCTTCTCTCATCCTCTTGGTTGTCACAGGGCAGAAGTTTCCGGTTTTAGGAAGTCCGGCTAATTAACAGATTCTTTCTTTTCCGGGTCGTGTTGCATGGGAACGCCATCGCCATGCCAAGGTCAGCTAGATTTCTGTCCCGTGTCCTGTGCTGGGACAGAACAATCCTGCCCTGACTCGTGTCTGTTCTCCGGGTACGTCTTTTACACTTAAGTCTGCGGTCCATTTTAGGTTAAGTTTTGTAAAGGGTGCAGAGTGCCTGCATTGATTTTTGTGTGCTGCTGTCCGTTATTCCAGCACCACTCGTTGAAAATTCTTTTTTTGTTTGGTTTTGTGTTTTTTTATTTTGAGGTGGGGGAGGGGAGGGTGCGAGAGGGAGAGAGAGATCCAAGCAGGCTGTCGCCGACGGCGCAGATGCAGGGCTTGAACTCATGAGCCGCGAGGTGATGACCTGAGCCGAAATCAAGAGCCAGACGCTTCACCAACTGAGCCACCCAGGTGCCCTGAAGATTGGTTTTTCTCCCGTATGTCACCTTTGCCCCTTTGTCAGACATCAGTCAATGGCGGGTGTGTTTCTGATCTGTGTGCTGCTCTGTTTAGCGGTCTGTCCTCCCAGCCCCACGCCGTCTCCATGGCCGTAGCTGGACCCTAAGTCCTGAGGTCAGATGCTGTCTGTCCTCTGACTTTTTCACCTCCAGGATCGTGTGGGCCGTTCTGGGTTTTCCGCGTAAACTCAAGTCCGCTTGTTGATACCACAAACCTAACTTGCTTCAGACGCCTTTGAACCTGAAATAGTTTCCCATCACTTGTCGGAAGTCTCCCCCGACTGTGCTCTTCTGTCTCTGCTTTCCTAACCCGGCCCTCCTCCGTTGAACCCGGTCTTGTGAGTCTGGGCCTCGGCGGGCGCCGGCCACCTTCCTCTCCCCGCGCCGGTGCTGGGCTCTCCCGTCCTTCCCCCGCCGCAGCCCGTGTGTCTCCAGTTGCCACTGGTCTGCGGGAAGCTGGGAGGCCTGGGACCCGGCTCAGACTCCAGAATGAGAGTAACGGCAAGTTTATGTGATTTCGTAATGGGAAAAGGCACAGTAAGTTTGTTATAAATGTGTTTCGCTTGTGAAGTCATCAAGCCCCACGCTGGGCTCTGCTCTGACAGCACGGAGCCTGCTTGGGATTCTCTCTCAAAATAAACTTAAGAAAAGAAAAACCAAAAAGACAAGCCTACAGTCTGACAAAATACCTTTAAATAGGAGGAAAGAAAGGTTTCTGTTCAAATGTCGATTCACGTGTGTTAACGTTATTTCTT